AACTTATTCAGAAAAACAATCTTTGAAAACAAATCAAAGTGAAATGAATTGGTGGATATGCTCCATTTTGTCTAAAATGGCTCATTCATATATTTCTACAAAATCTCTTTCATTTTCTGAGATATGAAGAACATTGAATAATTGGTGAGATTTTTTGATAAAATAATTTTTCTTAAACTCATTATTCACACCAAGAAGCATGTGTTGCACTACATGTGTGTTATAGTTATGACCTTAGAGCAAAATGCATGATTGTAAATACTAATCAAATAGGAAGTTAATTTTGTTGTTTTAATAGTAAAATCGATGCTATCTGACACACAATAGTTTTCGGTAAATTTTTGATCGAATGTTTTGATAACACGTCAATTTACTTTCTATTTCCGTTGGTTTTGCTGTTCATATTAAAATTATAAAAATGAAAACGAAGATTTCATGATACAGATTCCTCCGATCGATATTCCTACAACAGTTGCTGCCGCGACACTTATTTCTTAGACAGCTCTACCACAACGATATCTGCTGCATTAAACAGTTCATAATATGTTTTGAAGAGGTATAGGTTATTATAAGCTAAGAAGCATCTAAAATAACTATAAATTAATATAAGATTCAAAAATGATGCGAAATTGAGTGAATCAATTTGAAACTTATTATCAGTCTCTCTGATTGTTCATCATAGTATGAACAATTAGAAGCATAAAAAGAGTGTCGGTCTGGCTGTAGGTCTTCTCTATACTCATATATACACCCGTACCTATTTATGTATTGTTCCTTTAATCAATAAGAGTTCTGTTGAGTGCCATTGGGAAGCATCTGTGAATAGAACAGCATTCATGTTACCGAAACGAAACAGATGGTGAACCATACCAAATTAAAAAGAGACTAAAATCGACTTAAACTAAAGAGAATAGATGTAATAGAAATCTAAAATGTCTCCGAAAAAAAGAAATCACTCGATCTCAATTGCAATTTAACAGAAAATGAAATAGAGCAGTCAGAAAAATTGAAATAGATACACTACAAGTATCGTTTGTTATCAGTAAAGAAAAAGTTTAATTTTTTTTATTTTTCTCTTTCATCAAACAGTCTATTACTTCAGTTTTAGGAACATATACAATGTAAAACTCACATAAATCTGAAAGTTTCTAATGGTAACAACTCGTATTTTAATCTGTCACGTTTCATCTAGTAACTCACAGCAACTAATATTGAACAACATCTGTACTATGCTTCGGCTGACTTTTTTCAATAAATTTATTTTTGAAATAATTATTTCACACAGCTGAATGGTATCTCAATTTATCAAAGAATACTATTGTCGATTGAAAAATAGTGCGTTTTTTATATTAGACTTCCTATTTAAAAGTTTATTAATAATTAAATATTTTCACACGTTGCATGGTGCTAATAGCTGACACGAGTGAACTCGAGACTCCAACACTTCTCATCATTGGCTAATTTTTCGTGATCATCATAAATTCATTCAGTATGATTCAAGATCGTCATCCTACGATAAAAACGTGTGAATTCAATAATTAAAACTGGAATTTTGTTGGTAACTAGAAATTTGTCAGTTGAAAACTTCCATACTCATATCTTTTGCTGATGAAAATCCTGGAAACCGTTGACAACGAACAAAATAGTCAAGCTTTAGTGTTCTAAAAAAAATCAAGAAAAAAACGACTGGTCCGGTTCTAAGTATGATATCGCTCATATACACAGGTAGATTCCGATGTTCCTATTTCAGAATGGCAACAATCTGAATACCTCAAGCTTTCACTTTAATGTCTGTCTCTATGTAAAATTTCAAGTCGAAATGTGAAACTTAGTTTTTCTGCTGTGTCTGTGAGGGATCACACCGCTGTGTTAAAAAAAAATACCAAAAAAATGCAATATACGTTAATAGCAAGATATTTTTTCAGAGTATTTCATAGCTCATTAGGACATACATGATGCACATAGTTCTGACTCAAAAGCAATTTATCATTTGAACACCATCTTTTGTAAGAGACTTTTTTAATTGATTCATGCATTCCAAACTCAACAACATTCGCATGTCAACTGTGAAAAATAAATTATAAATTGTAATATTTACATCAATAATTTGTAATCGATCATCATTTCCAGCATATTTACCATCAATACATCTGGGAAATGATGAACTAGAATTCGATTGAAAATATTCTACAGACATCCATATTCTTTTTTTAGTTTGTATTGTTATTGTACAATGATTATCTGGAAAATAAAAGTATTTATTCTATAAAACAAAAAAATATAAAAAGTTTGAATTTTGAGTAAAAAAAAAAAGCAGTTTTAGATATTTATTTACATGGTAATCAATATGTGAATAAATTCTTCCTATATGAATATTTTTCAAATAGATTATGTCTTGATTACATAATGTTTGATTATCCATATAAACTAAAATTTAGATCAAATTATTGAAACTAAATAAACGAATCTTATTTATTGTCTTACAATGAAATTCATCTTTATTTGTATTTACATAATTAAAATTCAAATATATTATAAATAATAGATAGAAATCTGACCACATGATTATCATTAACACTATGCAAGTTGACCGATTTTTTTGTTGACCATTGTATTCAAACAAGCAATGGCAATAAAGCAAGAGAGAACAGAAGAAGAAAAAAAAAATGACCCCCAATGGCGATCATTTCAAGTTCATGCTATTGTTTTCATTTGCATATATGTTATAGAATTACTGACCAACTGTCGAGCTGTCATTTATATGAAAAATTAAACAAGTGAATTAATAATACTCTGTCTCAAACAGCATGCAATCGAACAACTACTGTCGTTATAAAATGTAAATACGTAACAAGAATAATGATTACACATTAAGTTTCATTGGTAACCAGGTGAAAGAAAGTAATGTGTCTATTCAAATGTAATCAAGTACTCAATAGTTCAATATAAAATCGAATTATTATTTGCTTTATAATACAAAAACATCAAGCAGAATAAAATATGATGATGCACAAAAAAGAAAATTTTCCCTTCGGGTATAACATATTATTTGTACTATTAGATTATTATTAGTCAATCGTTGTTATTGATGACGTGTGATTATATAATGCCGTATGCAATTAGAGTAAAGGAAATGTTCAGTCTATATATAAAACAGGTTTAGTTTTTTTTTCAATTGCACCATATTGGCGAGGAAAAGAAGCACGCACAATCACTGGGATTTAGAGTGTCTCTCTTATCAGAGGAAATTGCACATGTACAATATGACGACTGGAAGCACTTTATTCTTCCGATAAAAAATCTATAATGAACTATCAGATCTGTTTGTCATTCCTTCTTTTTTTTATGTTATGTACAGAGCATTTATATAGATTGTTCTTTGGCGTGTGTAACATGGTAAATGAGAAAAAGGCATACACTTATTAATTGATATTACACATATTGAGATGTCTTAATCTTTGATGCAACAAAAAGTGTAAACTTTCCTTGTTTCTAGTTAGTATTCGAAAAGAAAAGAACATTAGAGTATTGATTTAATAATGAAACTTATTCAAATAGAATAATAGACCTTGTAATGACATGACTATCGGATCAAGAGAAAAAAAAGATAGATATATATGTATATATATTTATATATAAACAAACATATCTATTCATAAAAACACTTTGAAAAGGTCATTTATTCGTACACTACTAATGTAATCTCATAGGAATAAGACAGACTATAGTATAAGAACGTGTTTATACTGTGACCATTATAGCCTTTGTATATAATGAAGGACAATGAATGGTCGTCTGATCTATTCTCAATGTTTGAAATATTCAATACATCTGTAAACATATAATGTGTCGAGTCTCTGTTTTCTTTCTATGTCGTGATCTTTTTTATTCTTCATTATTGCATCATCATATAAGCTACAAGAGACATTATCTAACATTAGTTAATCAAAATTAGTAGACTAAAAGCATTTGCACGTCTTCCAAGATTTCAAGAGGTAATAACCTTGGATAATGTTGACTAAATTAATGTATATAAAATGATGGTATGACACTTTGTAAGTCTTTTTTAGAAATTTTTTGCATATTAATGTCTTCTTTTATGATTAAGTATAAACATATATTTATGAGTAGACAGAAGAGCAGGCAAACTTCCATTTATATATTGTTCATATTCGGATTCTTTGTGCTTTTCTTTTTCAATGTTCAACAGTAGAGAAGCAAAAAAATTAAACATCTATGTTCACACATAGTCGACTTATTTGCCTTTATATCTAATGCAAAGAAAGTGTTTATTTGTAGCACTTTCAGTATGTATGTACACAAAATGCTCAAGTTCTCCGTTTTCTTTTCGTATCTTATTGCATCACACTTGTCATCGGTGCTGGACAAGATTTCTTTTTTCGTCGTCATTTTCTTTTCTATCGCCTTCATTTTTTTTTCTTTCATTCTTCGTATTCAATATATGCAATCATAAAGTAAAAAAGTAAGTAAGTGAGCTTATAATTCTTTTGACCAGAGGTCAGCAGCAACAGCAGTAGTGCAATGATCGATAGAAACGCCTATAAAAGGGTAGGTGCGAAGTAAGGGAAAGGAAAAAGCATGTTGCACCAGCAGTACAGTAATGAGAAGAAGAAGAAGAGGAGGAAAAAGAATTCTTCCACTTCGTCTATGATCGAACATACATCATATTATATATACAATTCATCATTAATACACATTGAGATAGACAGGACAGAAACAATAATTCATTCAACTGAAAATACAACAACGTACGTATGTTACTTGAACAAGGAAGAAATTACTTTTAAAGATCTGTTATTTTGCAATTATCTCTTAATGAGTAAAGTTAAATTCTCATGATTGCGAAACAAATGCTTCAAGTTGTTGTTATCTTCGAAAGATAAATTCATTAGACTACTATCTTATTTGAAGTTACATATCTTTGACTATGAAAAAGTAACATAATTATCATATGAATTAATTGTTTAATTGCTTTTAGAATGACAACAAATCATTTGAAATATCTATGGAAAAAAAATTTTCATTTACATCATATGAATGATTGTGATGATTTGAATTTTTATTATAAAAAATTCTTAAATAAATTAAGTAAATTATGTTTAAAAATATTCCTTCCATTATTATCATTAATTTATCTTTTTACTCTTTTTCTTTGTCGTTTATTCTTATCAAATCAAATATTTGATATTCGAACAATAAGTTTATTATTATTAATCTTTTTAACTTTCATTTTATTATTACTTATACGTTTGCATAAAAGATGGAAAAAGCTTTGGATTTTAACACGATTTTTAATAATTTTTCTTTTAACAATTCCATTAATAATATCTTATCAAACAGAACAATTTCATATATTACTAGCAACCATTTCTATTATAACTATGTATGCTTTATTAACATTTACTTTACTTCAATCAGTATTGATTTCAATAAGTATTTCAATTTTACATATTAGTCTTTTATTAAATCATCAAACAAATCAAATTCAATGGAAAAGTTCAGAATTTTTTTCAATAATTTTTTATCATTTTACTATTAATATATTTGGTCTATATGCATATATACAATCAATAAAACATATACGTCAACATTTTTATATTTACAAAAAGAATCTATTAGAAAAAAATAAATATAATGTTGATTGTAAAAAATTACAAACTATTATTGGGTACTGTCAACAATCACAATCTAGTTCAAGTATAAAGTAAGACATATATTCATTTATATCCTAAGGAAAGATTGAATTTTTATTGATATATGTAAGAATTCAATCAAATACGCGAATGTCTATTAATTTTTATTGTTATAGAATAATAAATGAATAAAAGTAATGATGACATTTTCCTATGATGTCATACTTTGATATCACAGCAAGCTGACCTTTGAACTCAGATGAAGCCAATTAGAATCTAGTTTATTGAATTCTACTTAATAAACCACTTGATTCATTCTTTTTTAAAAGAAAGAAAATTATTCTCTCACATTTAAATTAAAATTTTCTTCGATGTCAAAATCAAAAAAAATTTTTAAGAAAATTTGCAAAATCTCAGAAAAGATCATTTTTTTATTAAAAAAAAAGTATTTTCATGAAAGAATTTCCAAAGTTCGAAAGCATAAAATTTTGATATATTCTTAGCGATAAATTGTCGATATGCATCAAGATTGACATTTCTTTTCGAATAAAGAATACAACTATCATTAACGATCTGTTTTTTTTATCGTTAACTACGATTCATATTTCTCCATCCAGTCCCCAAAGAGCAGCTCGTATTTCACGCTAAATTTGCCGTTAAGGGACGTCACAGAGCAATGTAAATATACTGTTTTTTCAGCATCTGCTATCGCTCAAGGATAATTTTGTTTCGCTAGAGTAATCTCAATAATTCAACCAATAGACAACAAATTAAATTTAAATGAAAAACAATAAATGAGCTTGTTCTATAGATAATGAAAAGGTCAGACAAAAGTTCTCCATTGATTATGTTTTTTGACATAACATGGTAATATAATATTATAGAGGCTTGAATTATTTTTATATTTCGAAAGAGAAATATGTATATAAAGAATTTGACCATAAATGTTTTTTGAAGGTCAAAAAACATCTTAGAACAAAATATATCAAGATATTCTTCTATCAGTTGGGTCACATTTTTTTTTTATATCCAAAATATATTTGTTTGATCTTTTTGTACCGTGTAATTTCAATGTTTTTTAGTATCATACATATATAACTATTCCTAACAACGATGCCTTTTGTGTAATATTGAAAAAGCTGTTAGCACAATCTTTGCAAGATTAATATGTGAAACATTATGTAATTGCTGTTACTGATTACAGAGAGATTCCATCCATTTGGAGATATATTTCTTTATCTTACTTTTATTTAATCCGCCAGAAATGTAATGAGAAGATAGTTCATATATTATAACGATATGTTATCAATGTATGGTCTTTGATCGTATACAATGGGGGGAAACGTACGTCTTCAGCACTTTGAAGCATAAGTGAAGCGCGAGTGAAGTATGATGAATAGCATACTTCAAGATACTTCACTTGTACTTCACCTGCACTTCACTTGCACTTCATCTATACTTCGAAGAACTGAAGTCGCACTTTTTTCTCTTGATCTTATATCAACGTCTCCCATGATTTGTGGAAGGAGGGAAGAAATTTTTTTACTGCTATACTTCAACATTTTTTTCTCGATTATGTTTTATAATTATTGATCTAGTATACAAGAGAATGAACATAAATAATTCAATCAAAAACTCTATTTAAGGTTTATAATGCGAAAACAATTTTTTGTTTGAATATATCTTAGACAGACTGTATTCTATTCTAAATAATATTATTTAGTTGACAGCTGGATAAACTTTCTTTTTCATATTATATATGTCTTTTCTAATAAATGCTAGTTTGGAATAGAATTTATTTATTTAATTGTGATGACAGTTTACGACAAGTCGATGACAATCAGGTGTTATAATAAAATGTTTATATCGGATGTTGAAAAATTTGTCGAATATTTCTTTATTCTTGTTAGAGTAATAGCACTCTATCCTTATGTTTTGAAACTTTCAAAATCAAAACAAAATGAAAAGCTTTCTTGTTGAGTGAAAATTTTTCTAAATTTAACAACATTTTCTATTACAGTTTGTTCTCAGAGTTTTATAGCCTTTGGGCAATATTTTCGATCAAATTATTTTATACATTTTATTTTTTTGTAACAAAAAATGATCAAGGCTTTATGAACATTATTTTGTAATGCTATATCTACAATAAAATTAATATACATGCTTTACTTCATGCATGACTTGCAAGTTATCGGAACAGAAATAAAACGTAAGTGACCCTAAATGAACAAATCGAATTTGCATAGTAAAAATTCATATAGATTGTAATGTATAATATACAATATTTCTTAAGAAAATACAAAATCAAATGGTTATAGATCAGTATTTTCTATACGACTTACCTTCTAGTCAGCCTCATCAAATCGAGATTTTAGAAATCCATAATATTAAAACTTCTATCGTCAGTCATTTCAGGATCATTTTATTGAAATATACAAAAAAGTGGTAGAAAAGTAAAGTCAATTCATAATCCACAGTATACTAGAAACAAGATGAATCTATGGACAAAATTATTCGTTAGTGATTTGACTTTTCAGAAATAAAACATATTTGTCTCGGGATAATAAACTTTTCTAGAGCTAATTTTTATACGTTACATGTATGTTAAGTTACTCTAGATACCTTCAAGAAAAACCAGCGCTAAAAGCGTTGGTTCAGAGGAATTAGCGGTAGTAAATTAGGGTTAAAGGACATCTTATTCTACTTCATGCATTTAGTTTAAAAACACTCCGAATTGTGGCAGCATTTTTGAAAACTAAATGAAGACAATTCTTGATGGTACAAAATCTTAAGCGAAAGTTTTCGTTAGTATGCCTAGATTTTTCAAAAAAAACCAATGTACTCTTCGCTAGTGATGTGACAGAGTACGAAAAAATGTTCTTATAACTGAGTGAGAAGTTCAAAATCAATTCGAAACAGTACACATTCTCCTTTGCCACCTCTAGATGATGTTGAAACAAACGTCTTTGTTTCAAGACTTATTAGTATCTCTAGAAAGCTGGTTGAAGAAGAAAATGTTCGGAGTTCGATTTTGTCGAAGATTTTACCATAGATACAATTCGTGCCGTAGACGTTAATTATTTTTTAATTAATAGTCAACTGAAAGAGTCAATATTTTGATATATATCTATGTTAAAAGAATTTATTCAGAACAACAAAGTCGAATAAAAGGCAGGTATGCCACATTTTGCCTGCAATAACCCGTGTATGAAAAATAAGTTACTCCTCGTGCGATTTGTGGCAATTTTGAAACATATCTGTTTTGTTTCGAAAGAAAGAACTTTGTTCGAAGAGATGTGAATCACTTTAGAAATAGTTACAAAACTACATGCACTATTAGTCAATATTTGCTATAATTGTAAGTACTGCTCTAACTAAATCATCTATCATTCTGTTTTAGTTTTTATCTCCAAAGAATTGCATGGAATTGAGAATATCTTTAAAAAAATGATGTCCATTAAACATGACGATAATTCTTTTTTTTTATCGATTCTCAATGTTTCTCCAAGTTGAAGTAAAAATTTAAAAATTAGAAGAAAATCTTAAAAATCAATCCCCTGAAATCAGGAGATTTTGTAAGCTTACTCGTATAGTCAACCTGAAAAGTAGAATTCTAAAAATACATTTGTTTTTGTAAAATTTGCCAAAAATTAACGATGCAGTATTTTTCAAAACAAAAAAGCTAGCCACTCTTAGCAGTGTCTAATCTCTCTAAAAGAATTTTCAATTCGATCGAACTGACTATGTCAGAAAAATCGAGGTGATTCTGCATATTTTTTGTCTAAAAAATTGATTTCGAGAAAAACAAATTTTTCTGTTGATAATTAAAGTGATCGAAAACTAACCGTGCTTAGCGATCTGTAGCAGCGATCTATAGTTCATGCTCTCAACACTTTTAAAAATTAAAATTAGGAGCATTTTTCAAACATAGAAAACACTTCGAAGTTAAATTAAAAATCGAAAAAATATTGATTTTAATATCAGGATTTCGTTTTTTTCGAAAATATCATTTTCATTTGGTATTGTTTTTATTTTCAATAGTTTTCAATCAAAATCAGGTACAGTCATCAATTGTTCTCTATCAATAAATGAACAAACTCGTACTCATACATGTGATGAATTAGCATCATTAATCGATGTTCTCTATTGTCAAATTGAACAATTAATAATAAAAATACAACCAACAGCATATTATATATTTGATAATGAAACAATAATTATAACATTATTTAATGAAAATAATAATGAACAATTAAATGTTGATAATAGTTGTCGTTTAGCTATTGAATTATTTCGTTTTATTCAACATGTTAATAATATCACACAATGGAATTTAAAATTAATTATTGGTATTGATTATAATCAAATAAATATATATTCATCTAAATATATTGAAATTTTACCATATAATTATTCTCGATGGTTACGTGAAGAATGTCTTATTAATAATCATATATATGTATCATCAAAAATCTATAATATTCTAAAAGACAATCAATATTATAAATTATCATTAATAACAAATCATTCAACATATTTACTTTCAAATGAAACTATGTATGAATTATATAATAATAATATTATATCAATGAATATATCAGATATGATTGATCAATTAACACGTATTCAAGTTGATTATCATGTTAAAAAACATACAAATACAAAAACATTAACACATTCATTACGAAAACAAAGTTTATTTGAATTAACATCGAAATATATACATTGGTTTAGTTTAAATTTTAAAGAAGATTATTTAACAAAAGATTTTCAAATAATACATCGTACAAATCGTCCAAATTGTTTTATTTATATATTTATATTAATGATTTTAATTGGATCATTATTACAATCATTTGTTATTGATTATTTAAATATATATTATTTAATATTATATCCATTAGTTATTATTGGACTTGTTTTATTTATAATTATATTTTATTGTTCAATACATATGAATAATTCAGATAGCAATAAAAAATTTTATATTTATTTAAATATTCTTATTTGTATAACATTAACAATAATAGTTTTTGTTGCTATACAATATCATTCAATAAAAAATTTTCAATATTTATTTATGTCAAGTCAATCGATTAATAAAACAATAATAACAACGAAATTAAACAATTTATCTGCTAATCAAATTAATTTAACAAGTCGGTAAGTAACAAAGCTAATCATTGAATCGTTTGTATAAATAAAATATAGACGCATTTTAAATTACCGAACATTCTGTTCAAAGAGATAAAATCAATTTTTTCAAGCTGACACAAGAGTTCTGTTATGATCCAGAGCCAGGACGAAGTACTCAAATTGAGAAAACCGATGAGTTGAACACAACTTTAAAAATTGTTAGTATAATCTATACAAAATAAAAATGTGAAATACAATATGAGTGTTGTTACTAATTACAAAGAGAGTGTCTTTTGCTATCTCTTATGAGACACATTTCATCACCATCATTTTTCTTTATCATCCAAAAGTGCAGTGAGGAAATAGTTCATATATTATAATGAGATGTTATTAATATACAGTATATTATCATATATCAATGACGTCTATCACAGCGTATGATGCGAGGGAAGACAGTCCTACAAAGAAATCTGTCAAGGTCTATAACATTACGTTGATCCCGTCTTTCATGGCTGGTGACGTTTCCATAGTATCGTCTGTGGAAGACAGTGCCATTTCCTACCCTTTATACTTCAACACTCCTTTTGAGACCGTTTTTCACAAAAAGTGACAGAGATACATCTACACAAGAAATTCTGATTCATCTAAAAAAATGTCTCTTGCCTTGTTAAACTGACACAATGAAAAATGTTTGTTCTAATAATAGATCAAACATTTTGAGTAAAACTTGATGCATTTTTTTGTAAAAAAACTTCCGAAAATAATTAATGTAATGGGTTTTTGTTCTAATTTGATGTACCTGAAACTCGGAAATTAAACATAGTAATAAGAACGTTTGGATTGATAATTATTACAATATTTCGATCTGAGCATTTATGTAGTATTTTTAAGATTAATAACTATACTTTCTCCAATAAACTCCTAAAAGACTCAACCTCGGGTACTTCGTGCTGATTCCAATACTGAAGAAAGTCCGTAATTGTTCAGTTCCAGCACGATGTTATATTTTACTATCATGTACTATTTAGTTTGATTATTGTATAAAAGTTTTGAATCATAAGCAAAGCGAAGAGAATTTGCAGAAGATTCAATGTTAGACGATAGCAATGTTACTTGTCGTACTATCTCATCATCTTTGTGTTAACAGCTAGAAACATCATATCGTGTCAATACGAGTTCATTTACCACTAATTAAAAAATTGTTAGAAAGAAGAAAAGAAAAGTCATTTTGTGCAATGGAGAAGCGATTGCTACTGAGAGCTTATAGACTGAAAAAAAAAATGAAACTGAAAACTACTCAATACTGAGCAGCTTCATAAAGTGAACAGTTTTAGTCAATCCTAGTGATATCTACATTTATAGATCTTTTTATAATAATAAATTTTCTATTTTTCTAGTCAATTATTATTTCATCGTCAATATCATGAATATCTTGTATTAACACCGATATATCCACTTTATTTCTGTACTTTATTTCGTCAATGTTCATGGTTAATAAAAACATTCTTCATTATTATTTGTTCAATTTTACAATTATATATGTTAGAATATATTTGGTTAACAACAAATACATATTTTTCATCTATAAATAGTTTACATCATTATACAACATCGACATTGATTATATTTCATAATTCTCTTTTAATTATTTTATCATATATTCATGAATGGTTAGAAAAAATTGATTTTGTTTGGTTTAAACAAATTGATAATGAACGTTTAATAATAATTCGACAACGAAATCAATTTATTAAACAAACATCTTTTCTTTTACCATTACGTGTTATTAATTATTATTTGAATACAAATTCAAATTTATCATTAACACAACATTATCATTATAAATATGATCAAATGGGTTTATTATATATTCGTTTTAATTTATTAAATAATAAAGATGAATATTCATTAATTAATTTTATTAATAATATTGAATATTTATTAAAAAATAATGATAAATATAATAATATAGTTATGCATAAAAAGTCAACAATAAGAGAAATTATTTTTTCTATGGATGTATCAAGTTCATTAAAATCCATTCAAGAGTTAGTTGAATTATTATTTCAAATCGATGAACATATAAAATTACTTCAAATAAATTTTACTGCTTGTTTACATATCGGTTGTATCAATGAAATCTTAATACATTTTGAAAAATATCCTAAAATTGATATATGGAGTGAACATATATCATTTATTCAATTACTTATGTCGAAAATACAACAAAACCATTGTTTAGTAACATCATCAGTATATCATTTATTAAATGATTTATATTTATTTCGAATAGCTGGATCGGTCATAAATACACCGATGAATATTGAAAATAATACAAGTATTTATTTTTTACTAGGACGTCTTATTGGAGATAATATATTTCAAGTAAGAAAATCTTTTGTCTTTCTAAATTAAGTTTCATAATGAATATAATTCATTAATTTTATTAATATTCAAAATATTTACCTTGCCATAAGAGGTTTCGAATTTTTTCTCGTGATATATTCATTTATCATTGTATATTCTTGTCTTTGATTTAACGAAAATTATAAAACATGAAAAATATTCTAATTTGAAATTGTATTTTGGATCAAAATTCACTTAGATCAGAATATTATTTCGTATATTTTCGAAATTAGGACTATTTTATGTGTTTTTTGTTTTATTATGTTTCTTTTATAAAAATTCTGTAAATTTATTTTATTCTGCTTTTCAACAGGGTCGTAATGCACTTCCATTGACAATTAATCAACCAAATAATGATACTATTCCAAAGTCTTCTAGTCTAGATGATTCTCAATGTTCTCAATATCAATATAAACATAATTCTCACAATGATAAAAATCCTTCAACAACAACAACAACATCATCATCAGGTATTCTTAATGATCAACAAAGTCTTCTTAAACAATCATTACAAAAACATAAGCGTACATCAAATACAAATTCCAGTCAATCATCATATCGTCATACACTTTTACAAGCATTAGATCCTACAGCAAATACTTTACATCAAATAAGTCCAATAAAAAAACTTTCAAAACTAATTCATTCAAATGAAAATAATCGCTGGTCATCAAAAGAAACAGTAACAAGTGCTAATAAATATTTAATGCTTACACAAAAATTGCTCAATAAATCAACAGGTTAAAATTTCTTTTTATTATAGAAATTTATTGACTCTCCTTAAATAATCGAATGTGCTTGATTGCTTTTTTTTTTCTTATCAAAGCTATTCATATTGATAATATTCAATACAAGTTCTCAGTTGGGAAGAGTGTTAGAATAAGTCAAATAATGTCAGGTCACATTTTGAAGAATCGATATAGGAGTTATAAGTGATAGTCAGCTGAATTATAAGTTTTCTGAAGAAATTTGAGGCCTTTAAATGAAGACTATTCCTGGAAGAGAATCTATATATTAAAAGTCTCATATTTCGAAGGGAATTTATTTAAAGCTTCTGAACTTTTTGTGGAAACTAATATAGTTAAGTTCTTTATATAGGCGAAGTGTCAAATCAAAATTCAATAGTTAAGTGAAATCTAGAAAGGAACTCAAATTCTGTTAGGACTTTTATTAGAACACTATGTATTATTTATAAACAAAAGAAAAATGCATTGAAATCAGAAGGAATATCTGAAGAGATTTCGTCGTTAGCTGTAAAAATTTAAATTAATTTGAATATCCAGAATTTGGATTATTTTCTTTTCTTTACATGTAAACATAGAATGATAACTTTTTTCTTACAAAGTAATTAAATTTATTAAATAAAAAAAAATATATCTAATCAAAATGATAGTTTTCTTTTTCTTTTCTTAGATGATAATAATAATCGTTCGAAATCAACTCCACCATTATTAAATCGACCTTTTTCTTCTGAACATAAACATTCTACAGACAATAAATTTAACCAATTATTACATGAACAGTCATCAAAAGACATAATTAATCTTTCACGTAGTCTATCCACAACAAATGAAGAAACAAATTCATCATTTTCTGGTTGGGATGATCCATCTTCTTCATTATTACCAATAAATAATGAAAAACAAAAAGAATCTATTAAACAGACATCTTCTCCACCTATGATTGATTCTTATTATCCATCATATCCATGTGATCTATCGTTTACTGTTAATATGACAACAACACTAGCAGATACTAAATCAAATCCTTCTACAGTAACTTCACAACAACGACAACAACAGCAGCAAGAGATGACTAAATTTCGATCAATGCGATTTAATTTAGCACGTAAATTAATTGCTGAAACATCTGAAAGTGAAATATCAATTCAACATGAACCTTGGACACAAAATATTGTTTATCAATCAAATGATCATCAACAAAAACGTCTTTCATCAAGTTATAATAATTTATCAAAGTAATTTTTACTTGCTAAACAAAACAATATCAATAATTATATTTATCGATTTTTTAATAGATTTCATTCAAAAGAAGCACAATCACCATCTAGATATCATCGTGATTTTTTACAAAATTGGCTTGAAGATCAATTAAATCAATTTCGTGGTCAAACTAAACAAATTCCAACATTATTAACAAGGAAATCAAATCGATTTTCTAACATTAAAAATGATTCAACAGATGATGAATCAGATACAATTCAAGATAATACATATCCTATTTTACATACAAAATCAACTAAACATTCTCATAATCATATTCGATATAAATCAGTTCGAAAAACTTCAAATCTTATACGACATGAATCACTTAAACATAGAAATATACCACTTTCATTTGAAAATAATTTTTTAAAACAACTTCCAAAACGACGAACAGATTCATCATCAATACCACATTCTGATTTAAGTGATATATCATCATTACAATTAGATAATATATCTCAAAGTATTTTATCAAATATTGAATCTGATTATGATAATATGTGTACAGAAGGTGTAAATTCTAATCCAACAACAACAACTATTATAATGAATTCACAAATTATAACTGATGATGAGAGTGATGATCAAACAACTTTAGCAACAACAATAAATCGACATTACTTTTGAATGTATTTTGTCTTTTTTTTTGCAGTTTTTTTTTCTTTTTGTCATGCATTGTCATGAAATTACTTTGTCTATGATAAAATAAAGGAAAATGTATGTAATCTACGATATATTTTTTGAACCAAGACTATGATTACAATTGCTGAGATGGTCAACAATCGTATTGAATATTATCGTTTCATATGGCTTGCGATCGTAAAACGCTGTAAATTGATGTTTGGTAGGCGCAATGTTACAATTCTATTTTATTGTGTCGCACATAGTTGATAACGATCTAAAAACGGAATATGATTGACATCCGGCAAATTCTTTCACAACTATCATAGGACAGTTGTCGAATCTTTACTTTATATGCAAAAGTATACTTTATAGTTTCTTCTATAAACTGCAACAAAAAGAAGAGATTATCTCAAATTCGACAAAAACAGCAGATGATTTAGGATTTATTTGATGTCCTTCTGCTTCTAAAATCTGATTAATTTCACTAAGCTTATATTCATTTTTGTTGCTGCTAACATCGAAATGAAAGTTAACATTGAGACCAAACGTTATAATTGTGAATGCATGCATGAATGCTTTCCTCATCACGATCCCTCATATCCACATTTTACATAATGTATTTTTCTCTCTCATGTATTCAATTACTTCGGGTGTGGGTGTGGGACTAACTTGGTGTCTTTACTTCATCACTAATATTCTATAGCCATACTTCATACCCACACTCACACCCTTATCCTATGAGATGTTTTACTAAGTTTTATTACACATTTATCATTGATCTTTTCCGTCAACACAAAAATAGATTTGTTTTTGACGTTTTTGCAGCATTATTCATGAAAAAGTTGTAATATTTCGTTCAAAAATTTAAATAGAGGAGTCCAACATTGTTGTTATGTAACCCTATGTGGTTCATATTTTTAAATCATCTCCTCAATCAAAGATATTGTCATAATTAATCTTAAATTCAAATAAAATTTCAACACAATTTGTATAATTTTTTATTTGAAGAAAAGAAATTTATAGATAATAAATTCTACTGAATATTAAACATAATAAATTTTAAAAGATTCCACAAAGACCTAAAGAAATCCATCAGACTACGCCATGATACCAAAGAATCTTCATGTATCTTAGTAATCTTGAAAGACTAATGAGAATGATTAGAAAGTGAGGATCAAAAATAAAAAGTGTGCTGAAAAGAAGCGGTACTATTACTTTGTGAAGCTCAAAGGCATGGAATTAAAATCTTCAAAAAGAATTTGGAGCCTAGACTTTAGGAGAAGATGTGGATGTTCATTTTTTCTACACTCACACCCACATTTTGGTTTAGTTCTCAGCTCTGTCTTATTGGAGACTGAAGAGCTCTTTTGTGTAACCACAGGCTAATCTAAATTAGATCTTTGTATTTGAAGAAAATGAGACACTAAATCCAGTTGCTTACTCGTCAAAAAGATTACTTCAAGTTAAACTACCTATCATCATGGTGATACTACATTTTACTCACAAGAGAAGTTTTGATACCATGATATTCGAACTTAGCTTATTTGTTTATTCACAGCATCGCAAACTAGAAGAGATAAACACAACATCTTTCACATAAAATATGTATTTTCGTAACTTACCTTCATTAAAAAATAAGTTTAATATGAGTATTTTTTGAAAAAACTTCTTCATATTCTATTCAGATAACGAAAATTTTTACCCAAATAACTTAGCTTATCTACAGCAAAATATAAAAGTCTTATTCTAATGACACTAAACAACACAAATTCGTATTCCCGTTGCTCAAGAATGGCAATGGTTTCGTTTGAGCCATTTCGAAACTATCATTCACTAAAATCTTAATAAGAACAAAACTTTACCGATATATTCAAGAGCACGTTGGGTAATCGCCTTTGCTACGCCCGTGATTGTATCTTTTCATCATCAGACGACAAATACAATTTGAATATAGGTGAAAAAATTTTTATTCCCACTCAAAAATTCTTTGCTAAACTTGAGAAAATGAGTTTAATGTTCTTCTAATCAGGAAGTCTTCTAAGAACTAATTTTGAGATGAATTGTTCTCTTAAAAGGTGTTATATAACTAAGTTGTAATGATAACACATTTTTCACTTAAGTTTTTCATACTTTTAATTTTTTCTCTTCAAAAATATTCTATGTATCTCGATTTTTTAGTTGTATATCAGTGTTCTGTGCAGGCTTCTAGAAGATAATCTTTTTTCTGAATATTATATATGATTTTCAATGCCTCTTTTTTTAGTATACGTTGACTTATAAAAAAATTCGATATCCACTTTATACAGTTTTCCCATTAAGATAAATATCGAAAAGTTACTTTTTTTCTTTTTCCTTTTTTGCATTTGAAAATTTATTTTTTCTGCATACGGATGATCCATAAAACCTGGAATAATTATTTTTTTGAAAATAAGTCAAGCAACTACGTATATCTACGTTTTCAAAATAATCAAAACAACACTCACAAACATGTAGAGAAAACATGGTAAGAGTTCTTAAAGTGAACCTAGCCTAGTCGTTTGTTGTTGTAGAAATAATGAAGAAGTAGTCAATAGCTCTCGTAATTGTTCCTGCAGTTTCTTATGTTCTTCACAAATTGATTGAAAGAATTGTTGATCATTTATTGAATTTGTTGCTAGCTTCATTAAGATTTTATTAGTATTTCCATTTGATGAGTTGATTAGATCTAGCAGACGAACACACTTAAAAGAAAAAACGGCGATTAAGGTAAGATAGATAATGTAGGTTATTACCACTGATAATTATCAGTATTAGTTCATTCTTACTCTATAAAGTAAAAGACACAAAAGAATTGTTTCTTGAAAAATACAATAAAAGTTTTGTTCATTATTCGAAAATTTTTATTTTCTTGATCAGTAATAAATTAAATATTTTTTTTATTGTTAAGAATAGAACTATTATTTATTAATTTATCTTTATTGTTTAAAGATAAAAACTTTAATATATACTTTCAAGAGTATTCAATTATTATGTTAAGAACTATTCAATCATTTTCATTCTTCTCTATATTTCTCTCTGCTCTAAAATAAGCAATTGTTATCATTATTGAAATTCTCTACTCTCCATCATTATATTAATATTCGAATAAATATTTCTAATAAGAAATAACTTTTAAGTTTTAGTTCAACAACTGATGTAAGTAAACATGCTCTAGTCGTTTTTCTCTGAAAAATTTCTCGGAGAGTCCTTGGAGAATCACAATAGGAATTCCCAAAGAATTTGTGAGTAAGCTTAAAGAGAGTCCAGATGAATTTGTGAGAAATTGTCTGGAGAGTTTGGTGATGTCGCAAGAAGTCCTTCAGAACTAATAGGTACTATTGTAGATCACTACGCTCTTTTTTTATGATAGTTCCGTTTTGTTGTTAAGTTTTTATAAACTGGAACTCACTTGACACGAAAACACTAGTCATTATTTTCAAAATTTTCCACCTAAGTCGTTGATTTCCGGAGATTTCTCAAGATTCATCAGTGTTTTTCTGAGCATTTCATATTATATTGGGACTCTCCGGCAATTTCTTTGGAAGAAAAGTTAATAATAAAAATAAGAAACGAAAATTATTAAATTCCATCAAACTTTTATTAATTAGTTAAACTCTTTGTTGTTGGGTTGATTTAATCAACGAACACTGTATTGTTTTTCTTGACAGCATAACCATGTTAATTGATTCTCAAACAATAAAAAATCCAACTACAATCTTTAATCTCGTTGTGAAGATCATAACTGGCCTTGTATATCTACATTTAAAATATTTTTGCGCTTCCAAAAAAAAATTATTTATTAACTTTTAAAATGTTTTATTAAACCTAACTATTTCTATGATTTTAAAACTGATGGTTAAATATCATCAACAATCAAATGGAATATATACGATATCAAGTCAGGAGATTCGAAATGGATTCGGGTGCCGAAATCATGAATCTAGGATGTTATGAAAGTTACTAAAAAAAATAAATTAATATATTTCCATGGTAGTTTGACTGAATGAGGTGGTTTTTTCTATGAATGTATAGTAGAACGGCAAGTTTTTATTTTTAAATATATAATTTTCTAATACACCAGAAATTTATTATTTTCATTTGAATAAAAACGTAAATATATTCACCGAACGATATCGATAGGTGCATAGTGTTTTGAGACTTTCACATATAAAACTTTTCGAAACGATTTTGTGCAACATCGGAGAAGTCAAAAAAGCTAGAGAATGCTGAAGAATTTCAGACAAAATTTTCGAAACATTGAAGATAGCTAAATATAAATATTTGGAGTGTTTGTTATATTGAAAAAGTCTGGCGTCTTCCATTTTTATTTGACAGACAATGTAATTCTTTTTCATTGGAATTAAACGTAGCAAGTTCGGGATGTATTACTAAAGTCTTTATTTATAAATAAAAACGCAGAACTCTTGCCTGTCTTCAGATCAAAAGAACTCATTTGATTAAATCACGATAAAGATCTATGAAAAAGTTCAAATTGCATAAATCCATTATAAAAAGTAAGTGATAAACTGTTTGTCATGATAAAAATTTTCAATAATAATTAGCAATGTAGATTGATAAAGTTATTAAGATGATTATTTAATGTGTTAATAGAAAATCTTCGGAATATTCTTGAAAATGGGTCTGCAATTTTTGTAATGATAATAATATCTCTGAGATACTTCACATCTTTTCTCTAGCATAAGTAAATGTTCTTTTCTAAATCTATTTACATAATCGAGGGAAGAAATTTTTTAAAGTTACATATGGTTATAATAGGTTCAAATAAAAAAAATTGAAAATAGACCTGATTTTCTTCGATTACCTTTCTTATAGAAGTTGCCGTACAAATTGCTGTTTTTCGATGATCGTGTTCAAAGTATATTAGTGTATGGAATAATTCATGTTGACAATGAAAACGTCGAAAGAAACGAAGAATTGATGAGCGAATGATGATTGAGGAAAAATATAATAGAACTCCGCGACTTCTTTTTTTTCTGAAGAGGACAAAGGAGGAAAAGAAAGAGTAAGATATGTAGTATTTCTTTTCTGTCAATGAAGGAGTCAGTCCAGGTCAACAGAAAAAAGTTACTCTGTATCATCTAGAGGTCATTAATAGCATACGAAACAAGAATAAATGTTAACTTAGTTTTCTAATGCCAAACATTCAAAGAAAGTTTGTTATATCTGTTTTCATCAAAAACGACAACATTGAACGAGGAAACAGCAGACTATATAGTCTTTGAAATAATTAGAAGTTTTGATATGTACGCTTTCATCGTCGATCAAAATCGATGTACTTTAAACTTTCAAAGCAAGATCGAAATACGTGCCATGACAGTTTAACACACCCTCAAGCGAACTCTTACTTTCTTTCCGCTCCTCAGGTCTACTTCACAGACACAGATATACAAACAGATAGAGTATGCTAGTCTATCTGACCATCAAACATGATTTCATCAATGTGAGCCGAACTCTTGTTTACCAGTGAAACGACCCATGATGTATTAGATTTTTATTCCACAATATAAAACTTTCTCGGCTTTGAAATAATCAACGACACCTCCAAAATAATAACATTTTCTCGTAATTCTCACTTACTGATGAGTAATAGATCTTGGATGGAACTGAATAGAATACAAGATGAATGAGTGGTAGGCCACACCGTGTTGCTCTACCTTGAATTTCTGAAAGTGTCACGATCGATGGACCTTTAATGTTTTCTTCGATGACCATCAACGGTTTAAAATCACATCTGTAGAGATAGCATACTTTGGCAATTTAAGCGACGTCATGACATATGATAACAATATCATAATGGTCATATGTATTACCTTTGCGTCCAATTTACAAATATTGTGCATGGCGAATTTCCTTTCACATCAAAATTCTTCCACTCATCATCGACGGTCGGCATGTTTCCTCTCTATAATGTGTTTGAAAATACTGAAGCTCTGCATAATATATACAAGTATCTTTTAAAAAAATTTTCCAACGATTTCATCAAGTTACTAGATATGCACGCTAAGAGAGTATGACTTTTCGTATTATCTCTAGATAAAGTTATTTACTTTTAATATGTCGACAACAACGCCGCCTTCTTCAGAGAATGAAGTTTTCGGAATGGATCATATACTAATATTCTGTTCTCGCTCTTTACCTTGTTTTTCCTTTTCTTTCTTCCTAATAGTTTGCGAGAGAATAAAAGGGTAATAGCTTCTGACAAATGTAACTAATGGTTTTATTACCTTTGGGATCTATTTGCAAGAGAGAAAAGAACAAAAATTGCGAATGAAACAGGGATTTATGTTCTGATTCGAAAAGAAAAGAACCAAAATGACCATTTTTCCCGGCAATAATTTCAATAGGAACTAAACATTCGGAATTAACATCAAATTCTAAGTGAAATGAGATAGTTTTACAAATCGAAAAAACAACTTATAGTTTGGGCATCTGGGTGTGAGCATTCTCATCATTCATACTTACCCTTCATGCTCACACTTAGACCGAACAGTAACAATAGTACAACGATTTGAAAGATTGAATATAAGAGAAATAAAAATTAGTGTAGTTGAAATGAACAATTTTTAATCATTTCGATGCTCTTTTAAAAGCTATATTACGAATCAAGAGGCGCTGGAACTTTTCTCTCATAATGAGGCATACGAGAAGAGAGCACAGAAAAAGAAACTTACAGTCGAGCACGCTGCTTCTTTTAGATCTGTAGAAGGTACTAGATATTGAGCTTAACTAGATAATTTCAACCGTGATCATAGATTGACATTATCAGTCTATGACTTGCAATATGAGAAAGAATACATATCATCACAAACAAAATACTTAGTTTCATTTAATTGTCTTTTATTAATAAATATTGAATAGAATCAGCAGATGCGAGTGTTTCAATAACAATGTTAATTTGTTAATGGTTATTTTTCTTCGTATGTATTTACAAAGATCAAAACGAGTTGATAACATGTTCCATAATCTGTTCTTTTTTCTTTTTGTTTTTTAAATACTCAAAAATACTATTTACAGAAAAATGAAAAGTTAGTATTCAACATTTTAGAGATTCTAAAATCAAATATAAAATAATTTGAAATATATCGGATGCAAGCGATTGAAAACTCCCTAGTTTAAAAATTATTTGATATATTATTAATTTAAAATTATAAACAACTTCATTTATCAGTTACTCATCAGTCTAGTGTTGTTTCTATTTGGCTAATATAATTTTTATAAAGATACAAAAAAAAATTGTGAGATACACATATAACCAAAGATAATATAAAAAAACACAAGAAATACAAATGTACAATAGAAACTAATCGAAATTCAATATTATTAACATTTATAAGAATGAATAAAAAAAAACGATAAACAATGTCAATGTAAGAAGTAATATGGAATGTATATTCATTGAACTGCCATTGCAACCATCACGATTTTCACAGTACTAAAAAGGAATTCAAATAAATAATAAAAATGAAAAAGCCTCAGAATAAACGGTAGGAAAATGTTTGTTTAACAATCAAGATAATGATCAACTCCATTTGTCATCTATTCTGAATTTGTAAAAAGCTATAGAAACTCTGATAGTTAAGATGATGCAAAAAACTTTTATAATAGATTTTGTTTCGATAATGTTAAATATCTAACTCAAACTCAAACAGTGATTTTAACACCCAATGAAGTTTTCTGTTTTATGCATTCCATACCAAGATTTCATACGAGAAGGTTTTTAAAAAAACCACACCCGGTATTTTTTACATGTCAACAGACTTTGTCGGTCCAATTTTAAAGAGCACAAAATTAGAGATCGCCGCATTTTTAGGCCATTTTTTTGATGAATTTTGTTTTGTCACCGTTTTTGAAATACTTTTAACCAAACTCTTTCGAGATTTTGAAAATACCGTGTTCAATTTTCCAAAAAAGCTTACCATATGATATCCTGGTATACAATTTTAAAAATACATACTAGTTAAACTCTTTCCCACCACTTTATATTCATTGCATTGTATCAATGGATCGTACTGAACACAAAAACTTGGGTTTCTGTAGTTATCTACCTTAATGGAAAAGTTGACATTTAAATGCCTGATCGGCTCTATCGTACATCAATATTCAGATATTCAATCTTTCAATTGTTGAAATTTAAGACAATAAAGATGTTTATTTTTTGCTGAATATTACTTTTATCCGTTGCTACGAAAAAACTTCAAATGTTAGTTTTTATCTGATTCCAGTCTGGAGAGAAAAAAATATTATGGACATATAACACTGCAAGTAGATATCCATCGAAAACTGTAGGCAATCATATAAGTTTCAACTAATTTGTATTGCAATCTTTATAACAAATATCTTGGCATAATATGGCCGTTCAATTTTCATTCATGTATATAGTCATTCGAGAGAAATAAACATAGATTAAAATGAAAATGTCTTATTTCTGCAAAATATATTTATAGATGTAGTTATGGATGTAAAAAGAAGCAAAGTCAAAACTCATAGCTTTACAAACATATTCATATTCACATCTTTCCAAGAGTTTAGAACCTATGGAATTCAGTCACTGCTAGAAACGTTGCACCTGCTATGTTCTCACATGAAAATACGTAAAATTTCTCTAGTGAGATAAACAATAATACTTAAGAGTATTCGCTTACATTTTCCGTATAAAAACACCTTCGAATAAATTTATCAAAGTGCTATTTATAGTCCAATTTGTATAGATTATAAAATTTTCGTTCTCGACTACTGTTTTTAATTCTCTCCGATGACTTATCAATGAATATTACAACAGATCTGTTATGCCAAGATTTTCTACGATATTCAAAAGCAAGTTTTTCGAATACTCTTTATGTTAATTACTACTTCATTTCGCTAACATTCTCAATAAAATAAATAAATAAAACAAAGTTTTCTTTATCTATGGAAAAAGTTTCATATCTAAGTATTCAATAAACTAGAAAACATTCTATCCTTTTTTTCATAATTAAAATAACTTACACAAACAGCTACTTCAAGTCCAACTTCATCAACAAAATATCGACAACCTTGAGCAACACCTAATGTTGATCGTGAAGCACATGAACGTATCACAGTCTTAAATCCTTTTGCTAAAATCAAAACTATGAATTAACAAAAAAACAAAGCTAAACACAAAAAAAATTCACTTTACCATAAAATGTATCATAACTTTCTTTAACCATTTTCATACACATATGTCCTGGTACATATGATTCTAAACTAAAACAATCAACAAGAGCATTTTTTGTTTCATCAAATTTTCCAAATGCTGGACAAAATTCATCTTCTTCACTACTACATTGATAACATTGAATACCATCAACTAGAAAAATAAAATGCATTTCAGAAAACTTTAAAACGTATTTTTTTTACCAGGTATTTGAATAATATAGATTAAAACAAAAATAAGAATGTATAGGGTATTCATGGTCATCTAAAATTTATTGATTTTTTTTTTAATTTAAATCTATGTTCTTGGATTGCAATAGAACAAAATTAGAGAATAACAAACACATTTTCTTTTTTTTATAATTGATATTTTATGAACGTCCTTGGTTCTAATGAATATAGAGACATAACCTTGAAATGTGGTTTTTTTTTTGCTGTCTTCTTTCTTTCATTTGACAGAGATTAATTGACCTATGTTCGCCATATATGATGTTAAATTTACCTTCATTTCATGTTCTTTTTTTTAATACCTGAAAGATTATTCATTGGAGAGAGTTTTTAACAAATCATAAAATTGTTTAAATAAATATATGGAGAGTAAATCAAACTCAATTGACATTGGTCTTGCAAAATTTAATAAAACTAATAAAAAATAATTTTTGTATTATCTTAATGGATATGGTTGAATTCTTTGATTGATAAGAATAGCGATATTTTGGTTCTCCTCAATTTTGTTTTTGTTTTTTTATAAACGAAGGATTTGATGATAGAAGAGTTGTAGATTGTAAAGTGTTGATAAAAGACAATCAACATTGGGTACAAATAGGATTTGTTCGGGAGTACAAATTATCTTTTTTTTAATTGTTGTTTGCAAAATAGAAGACAAGGCAAATGACTGACTTCTTTAAAGAAAATAGAAAATTTTGCATGGTTAAAAGATGTCTCATTTCTGACAATTTTTTCTTCTCTTCTATTCAAGTCTATTTTAAGACCTTGCCATCGTTCAAGATAGATTTCTTTATAGAAAGCTCGATTGTTGTGTTCCTTAAAGTATATACCAAAAGAATAAGATAAATTTTTCTAATAAAAAGTGTGCCAACAAAAAGGTCAAGACAAAATGAATGCAGTACAATAGATATTACTATATGTTATGACAAGACTTTAGTTTATTATTGATAAGCTCGATTTTATTTCATATTTAAATTTTGTAAGAATAATTGTGAAAGTTATTTCAGTGAAGATTATGACAATTATATTTATACAAAAATAGATCATTTTTATGCTATGAAATTGAGAATAAGTTACCTAAATTTAGACTGGCATTTAATCAAAAGACAAAAAACAGATGGAAAATAAGTCCGAAACGAAATGTATTCATTACTTGGTTATTGATAATCATATGTTTAATTTATTTTTAGAAATAGAGAAGGGATCCAAATGAGTAATGAGAGGAAGAAAAATTATTGAAACCTGAAAAATAAAAAACAATATTGCGGTTCACAAAACGATAGAATTTAAGAATAAACTTTAAAAACAAGTTTATTTGTCTAATTATTTATTGCGAAAACTTTTATCTATATCTATATCTATATATATATATTAACTATGTACATCTGGTTTTTCAGATAAATTTTGATAAACAAGTAGCGATCTCTATTGAATCTTGAGTGGTTTGGTTTGTAAATCCGATTGGATAAAACTTTTACATCACCTGACTGTCAACAAATAAGTAATAATAAAGAGAATAACAAATAGCGTAGCAAAAATAGGAACAAATCATGTGAGAAGTTCTTCGATAAATCAAAAACTGTTTTATTTGATCGCCTTTATTCATGTAAAGTAATTATGGCTAATGATTTACAACAATTTGCTCTAATTGAAAAACCTTTACATCTTAAGTAGGCTAATTCGAATTTCAGTAATATATTCAATTATTTTGTTGTTTTGTTTTTTTTTTTTTAGTTATTTACGAGATTTTCGTGTCGAACAATGTCAATTATTTCTTCAACATAAATGCACACAGTACGAAATATAATATTTCTATTTGCAATTTGAAATATAAAAGAAAAACAATTTAAACAATATTTTAGACATCGACCTTTTTCATGTTTTTATTGGCATTTTCAAAATCAACGACGTCGTCGTCCATATCGTCGAATAGATGGAACATTTTCTTATGATCCTGATTTTTATTGTAATAGTTATGATGAACAAAGTGGTATTTGTCCGAATGGTGATGAGTAAGTCAAAACAAAAAAAATTAAAGATTAGTCTTTGAGATTGTTTTTAATAATCTTTTCATAGTTGTCCACTTCTACATCGAAATGCAAATGATACAGAAAAACGTTATCATTTACGATATTATAAAACAGGTTTATGTACACATGAATCTGATGCTAAAGGACATTGTCTTAAAAATGGACCACATTGTTCATATGCTCATGGGGCAAATGATTTACGACAACCAATACTTGATAGTCGAGAAATGCAAAATAGTGATTTAGCTTTAGAAAGACTTGCACGATTATGTATTAGTTTGGAAAATGAACGAGCTTTAAATGATGATCCAAAATGGAGTGGTAAGAAGAAAAACAAATGATTATTTTTTTTTTTAATAAAATAATATCACGAGTGAATATCTTGAAGTGTCGAATCGATTTTCAATCGAAAGAATGTTTATGTAGAAAGAAAATACTAGTTGTACGATCAACTAATCTCATTACGAATTATTTCTTTTTTGTGTAAAGCATTGAAGTCGAAATTTTCACATGAATTGAGGATAACTACAGCTAACTCTAATAAAAATCTTAATATCTTGAGAACGAAGATTTGGAAAACTAAATCATTCATTAGTATTCATTAAATAAACATCATCTTAGTCGAACAACAATTTAACACATAGAAATAATAAGGAATAGAAGATCTTATTCTTTTCGAATGAAATAGCATCTTTGAAAACTTTATTTATGTAAAGTTTGAACACCAAGCTTGTAAGTCTATTTTGATGATAATCTAAGAAAAAATACGTTTTTGTTATTGCCAAATTGACTAACTAAAACTACCATAGCTCATGAAGAAATATCCATGAAAACAAATCTTTTTTAGGCTATGTCTAGTTTTAAAATAGGATGAGGTTCAACGAGATATGATTTTTGACAATTATTCGTTGAAAATTATATGATTTTTTTTCTTATAAAATCTAACAGATACTTAACATGGTTGTGTTAAAGAAAGAGAGAGACTTTGAAAAAAAAAATAATCGATATAAAACTATCGAGTTTATGAAGTAATCTTAAGAAATAATGTATACTGTGCACATTGAAGAATAGAAATCGAATATTCGAAAACAATCTGTTATATTCATTTTGCAAGCTTTTCTATTATTCATAGTGAAATTTGGATTTTTCGTTCAAATATAGAACGTACGGAAAGTTGTAAAGTTAAATGAATGATTGGTGTATACATAAATATCAAATCGAAACCAACTATACGATTATAAACTTCTCAAAGTTTTAATATCTATTTCTTTATTATACTAAAGGTTCATTGATAATAGTACACAAGTCTTACGTACAGTTTTACACTCATCTAAACATGTATGTATAAACTGACAGTGAAGATGTGATCTTGGATAGATCTCGGCTTTTCCATTTGAGAAGGCTATTTCGAGAAAATCGCTGAATTTTTATTAAAATGAAATAAAAGTTTTCGTAATTCAGAAATTTGAATCGATAGAAAATTTGCCAGAACTCTTGAATTCAAGTTTCTCGTTTGAGAAAGACTTAGTTTTAAATGGTTTAGTTATGTTTTATAATATTTAGCTATTTTGTTGAAATAGAACTCACTTGACTGAAATAGTTGAAATGAATGTAAGATCATCGTCTTCACCATTATTCTATATGTACATGTCTAGACTAGTATCGGGCGTGACCAAGTTTTTTCGTCATGGTCATTCTTTTAACTTTGTCATGAGTCGTGATTTTGTTTTTTCTTTTTGAACGATGGTTTTTTGATAATAAAAATTAGATAAAGACAAAAAACAAGTAAAAAATTAGGACATTATTAATTAAGAAAAAAATTATATTCGTAATTAATGAGCTTCGATTCAATGAAATAGTAACCTATAAATGTACTTTCGTTGAACTGTATGTGCAACAAAATATGTATTTTTTTTTTATCTTTTGTGTTTGTTGTACTATTTGCGTCGCATAAAAACTTAGAACTTGAGAAGAATTTAAGATTTTTCTTAGTGATAAAGTTCTTCTCTGATATTTATTTATAGTTGTTTTGATTCAGAAAAAAAATGAATAAATTATCACAATAAGATAAGAATATAAAATTATTTGTCTGATGAAAAAACTAATGTAGTTTAACAGAGTATATGTGGATATTTCAGTATTTGTTACTGTTCATGACTAAATCCCATCACAGTCACAGTCACGGTCATGATTTTAAAAAAAATATGTTCATGGTTACGGCCGTGACCATGTAATAAGCATGAGGTTCACGGGGTACTAGTCTAACCCAGTGCAGAGATCTACCTACGACTGACTGATGAACACTGTTGCATCCGTAGATTTGAACTTAATTCTGTTTCGTAATGAGTTGAAGACGAATAGTTTAATAGCTATTGAATACTTTTCCTGGTAGAAATAATCTCTTGAATGCAAATTGAACAGAATTATAACAGTTTAATAATTTATACTGGTTTTACAGAAATCTTATGAGGAAACTTCTCCAGATGTCAAATCGTTTTTTTGTTCAAGATGATGTTCATTTGATGAGTACTAATGTATGATTTGGTTTTTCGAGCATTTATTCTCGAGATTTCAACATTTTATTGGGTCACCTGCAACTTCTTTCAGGTTACATGAAAGTTTTGACTTCAAAAGTTTGCACAAACAAAGCTCTTCATAAGACTAGTTGAGTGTAAAACCGGTATTTCTTTTCTGGAGATGTGAACGAAATTTACTTTGACACACCAAAGAATTTCAAATATTCAATGTCCAACTGTAGACGATATTAGAGTAGCTATACTTTGTTCAATAAACTAATCTTATAGGAAACTTTGCTCATGCAAAATCTGAAGTTAAAGCTCGATTTTTCACATGACCTGATGGACATTGCAGCTAATTTAGTAAAATTTTGATGTCTCGTTCAAAAAAAAACAATTAGAGGTGGAAAAAGAAACATCATGATATTTAATTACTAATTTTTTATTATTATTTAGATTCTCATTATGTACTTGCAAACTATAAAACAGAA